GGCGAGGGGCGCGCGCGGCGGCGGGAGGGGGCGCGCGGGGACCGCGGCAGCAAAGACAAGAAGCGGCGCGGGGGCGGGGGCGAGGGCGGCTTGCTGGATGCCGGGGACGACGTGCAGTTGGAAGGCGAGGAGCCGCGGCAGCGGGAGCAGCAACAGCCCGAGCAGCTGCCGCCGCCGCCACAGCAGCAGCAGCAGCAGCAGCAGCAGCACAGCAAGAAGCGCAAGCAGCGGGACGGCGGCGGCGCCGCGGCGCCGCTGGACACCGAGGAGGCAAAGCGGCAGGCGCGCCTGGCGTCGTTTGCGAAGCTGACCCTCAACAGGGACAGCGGCAAGAAGCAGGGGCAGCAGCAGCAGCAGCAGAACGGCGGCAGCGGCGGCGGCGGCGAGGAGCAGCCGTCCAAGAAGCGGAAGCAGGAGGCGCGGCAGAACGGCGGCGGCGGTGGCGGCAGTGGCGGTACTGACGGGGCGCAGCTAACCAAGGCCCAGAAGAAGAATCTGAAGCGGATGCTCAAGCGGCAGCAGAAGCGCGGGGCCACAGGCGGCGGGGATGGGCAGTGACTGGCGCGCCGCGCCTCACCGATGCATGGGCCTGCTCACTTTGCTCCGGCGCTTTACTGGACAGTGTTTGTTCGCGCACACACAAGCTGCCATCGCATCATGGGGTCCTAGGCTTGCCTTGCGCTACATCACGGTTTGCCCAAGCACTTCCACCTTGCAGGGGCTTGTAACCATGGCACCACTGTTCTGTCAAACCATGCCACGTGCAACAGCAAATCAACGACTCCCAAAACAGCGTCACAAAAACACCGGCGCGCCGCGCCGCTGCTTAGCGGACCCGGCCAGCCGCTCGTTCCCCGCCGTCCACGCGCCCCGCAGCCCGCCCGCCGCGGTCGCCGACCGCGCCGGCAGCGCGCCGCCCATCGCCGCTTGCGGCCGCGTGCCCCCCGCAGGCGTGGTTGGACAGCTGCCCGCGGCCCCGCCAACGGGCACGCCGCCCGGCGGCCCGCCAAACTGGCCGGGCGCCGCGCAGCTGCCCGCAGGGGGCAGCGCGACGCAGCTGTTGACCAGCTCCTCCGCCCTCGAGGCCGCCGACGGCAGCTGCTCGGAAGCTGCCCCGGCAATCGCAGCAATGCTGGCGTCTCCGGACGACCACGGGCCCTGTTGACGCTGGCTTGCCTGCTGCTGCTGATGCTGCTGCTGCTGATGCTGCTGCTGCGGCGGCGGCGGCGACGGCGGACGCTGCTCTCCAGGCGAGGCGGACCTACGGGCGCAGCGGTGCTGCTGCCACAGCCCAGGGCCGGCCGGCGGCGCCCCGGCCGCGGGCGGCGCCGGGAACGCGTCCATGCGCGGCAGCGGGCCGCAGGTCGGGCCCCAGCCGCCGGAGGGGAGCGCCGTGGCGGCGGGGGGCTGGCCGGGCGGCGAGGCGCGGCCGTCCGATTGAGGGGCCGTCTTGGGGGGCTCCTGCAAATCCCTGTCGCACGCCAGGCACCTGTCGGCGAGTTTGTGGGGGGGGGACCGAATCACGCCCTCGCCGTTCCAAGCCGCGAGCGAGCGCCGCGAGACGAACGCAGTACACCAAGAGGGGCCCGCTCCTCGGCCGCTGCCACCTCAGTCTGGGTGGCGCCAGCCAGCCATGGTCCGGCTGCCGTAATGCCCCACTGCTGTTTGGCCCCAATAACCAGATTCCGGGGAGGGGTGGCCTTCGTCTTAAGAATCCAGCAGCACGCGCCTGAAGCGTGTGGCGCCCGTGCCGGCCACCTCGCCCGCCGCGCGGCGGTACGCGTCCAGCGCCAGCTCCACGCTGCGCGCGAGCGCGCCCCTGATGTCCTCCTTGCTGGCCTTGCCCCGCATGAGGGCCAGCAGCTCCTGCGGCGGGGCGTGGTCAAAGGGAGTTTGACCGCGACGAGATCAAAGGGGCCGATGCGTTTCAGTACAGTACGGTGGACGCAGCAGAGACCCGTGGTGCGGCTTGCATTGACAGGTCGTCGCTGCTCCAGGGGCGGCCGCGTGCTGCTGAGGAAGCAGCGCCTCGGCATTACCTGTAGCTGCGACTGCGTGGCGACGCCCTCCCCTGCGAGCGCCGCCGCCTGCGACGCGTCCACGCGGGCCCCCAGCTCCCGCAGCTGCCCCCTGAGCTCCTCCACCGCGTCGTTCAGCACCTGAGCATGCCAGATGATGGGCGAGCGCCGCGGCACGCATCCCATCCCACGAGGAGACTAATAAGCCTGACAGATTCATGGGGCCTCAGCTTCAGAGGCATCATCTGGCACAGGCAGCGCCGGGCCATGGACGCATCCCGGCAGGAGCGCATTCACGAACGCTTACCACCACAATACACCGGCTGGCTGTCCGCAGCTGGCTGAACTCACAGCTGGGTGAGGCCACGACAGGCCCGCCCGTGGGGCGTGCACGCCCCACGGGCGGGCCTGTCATCCCAGCCGCGCCTGCTAATCCACTTTGCGCGATGTAACCCCCACCACAGCTCGGCGGTCGCCCGCGAGCTCCCACCCCCCCACCGCCCTAAGCACACCTTGTCGCATTCCCTTACGCCCAGCGCGCGCGCCACTCGCAGCTGCAGCTCCGCCAGAGTCCTCTGCAGCTCAGCCTCGGACTCCTGCCGGCCAGCATTGTTGCCACAGCACGCACGCAGGCCGCGGTGCGAACACAGGTTCAGGTCGCTGCTGCCAGCTTGCTGGGGGCGGCTGCCCACGCCTGGCAACTGGAGATCGATCCTTGCCCCCGCGGGCATGCCATAACTGTCAGCTCGGAAAAGCAAGCGTGGCTCCCCTGTTGACCGGAGCCGAAAGCATTGCAGGGAATCCCGCACCTGCACAGCGTGCACCCCTTGGGTTGCGGCCCTGGCGTCGTCCGCCGCCCGCCCCAGGGAGCTCTGCAGCTTGCTGAACTCGGCCAGCGACACCTCGGGCGGCCGGTTCACCTCCCTGCGCACCGCAGACATCTGCAGGGAGTAGAGGAGTAGTAGAGGTGGGGGGCCATGTGGATGTGTGAGTGTGTGTGTGCGCGCGCACGCGCGTGCCATGCATGCGTGCGTGCAAGACTCGAACATGATGTGACCATCCGGCTTACGCCGTGCGGCAGAATGAGATACAGGACTGGCAGGGAATAATCCCTGCCTGCAGAGCGCAGAGCGCAGCGGGCTGTGGCGGGCGTGGCGGCTGCGATTACGCCGCGGCTCGACCGGCGGTGCCGACCTGCATTGCTAGGGATTCTGCCAGGGACTGCGAGGCGTCCTGCAGCGCCGCGGCCTGCGTGCTTTGGCGGTCCTCTGACTCCGCCAGGGCCTGGGACAGGGATGACACCTGTGCATGTGTGTGCGCGCATGTGTGTGTGTATGTGTGCGTGCGTGCAGTGTGTAACAGAGAGGGATCCCATATGGTTGGCGTTTTGAGAGACGGAGAAAGACGGCAAAGGAAGAGAGACAGGACGCGTCTGAGGGAGAGCGAGGAAGAGCAGGAGCGGGGGGGGGGGGGGAACAGCTAGAAGGACTGAACTCGCCCTCCCTCTCTCTCGTGCACGTGGACGCCACGCGCTCATGCATGTGTGAACGCGGTAGCGTGTGCGCATTCATGGGGTTGGGGCAGGGTCGACAAAGGGGTAGTTGCTGAGCTTGGGGTACGGTGATGGATCCAACATCAGAAACAGACGCTCTGATGGGATTAGCGAGCTGCTTCGCCCATAGGCGCTGGGTTGGCCCGTTCCAGTGAGGGGACGTTGGTCACCGGCTGGCCGCGCGCCAGCGCACCTGGTGCTGCAGCTGCTGCACCAGCGCCTGGACTGCCGCTCCCTCGGCCCGCGCCGTGTCCAGCTGACGGCGCAGCTCATCAAGCTCCTGCCGCGTCTTGCTGGGCACCGCCCCTGCGCCGCCTGCGCGCCTGCTGCTCGCGCCAACGCCGCCGCTAAACAGATTGCCCATGGCTGCCGCCGCCGCTGATGGATCCAGCCCTGACCCCAGCCAGTTCGAGCCCCCGTGCAGGGCTGCTGCGGCGTCCGGCCAGCTGCCGGTGGCGCCTGCAGCTGCCGCCGGAGAGGCTGCGGTCCCTGGCCGCTGCTGGAAGCTTGCTGCCGCGCGCTGCAGGGCCACCTGTGCGCCATCCGTCGCTGCAAAGCCATCCGAAGGGCTCGACGCTGTTCCACCTGTCACCACCACCTTGAAGCTGCCGCGGATGCCCGGCGCCGCCAAGTTGGCGGCGCAATCCTGGCTGCCACACTGCGGTCAAGATCGAAGGGTGTGTGATGCAACATCCGCTAAGCTGCCAGCCGACAACGCAGTAGGAGTTCCGCACACACAACCACACACACACACACACACACACACACAGGAAAAGCTAACAACCTTGTATAAACACACATATGTTTTGACGGCCGGTCCCAAGATTCAATCGGCGGTTGTCGCACACACGGACACCCAGGTACCCGCACCTCCTGGCTGCCGCACCTGCGTGTTGGGCACCTCCACCCCCAGCTCCTCTGCCACCTGGTCGAGCGCCATCATCCGCCCGGCCAGGTTGCTCACGCCCGCCAGCCGCCCCTCCACGCCCGCCAGACGGCGCTCCAGCACCTGCGTACGTCAGCAGTGCAGCGACCTGGTCACCCCCCGAGTATCGCCACTGGCCGCCCGTGCTGCTGGCACTAATTTTGGACCCCTGTGCAGGCACATGCATGCGCACTTGGGTAAGCCCCCCCAATCACACAACGAGACTGCCCACACGCATACATGCTCATCAATGCAGTCTCCACCACACAAACACACCAATACACCCACTTCCGCATATCCAGATACCCGCACACCAACACGCCATGTACACATGCACACACACGCACAAAATGAAAATGCACGTCCCCACCTCAGTCGCCTGAAATTTGACCACCTTCCCGTCCTCCTCCAGCCGCGCCGCCAACTTCTCCAGCTGCCCCACCCGCGCCGCGAGCTGCGCCACTGCAAACGGCGTCGCCGCTGCAGCCGGCGCCTCGAGCCGCAGCTCGAGCTCGCGCACGCGCTCAAGCAACTCCGCCTCGGACACGTGGGTGCGCTCGAGCGATGCCACCCTGCGCTGCAGATCCGAAGAGGCTGCGGCTGACGCGCCCAGGCGCTGTACCAAGTGCTCGAGCAGGCCTTGGAGCGGGGTCTGCAGGAACAGCGGCTGCCGCAGCGCCGCGAGCAGCTGCTGCTGCTCGGAGTCGCTCAGGGCCGGCGGCGCCGGGGGCGCTGCTGCCGCGGCGGGGGCGGCGCTGGGTGACGGGTTGGCCCCGCCAAAAGGCAGCATTGGGGCGCGGCGGGAGGCTCTGTGTCAGCCAGGCTGATGGGCAGCGCACACGACGTTCTGCCGAACCCGAGCAGCAGCGCCAGCTTGCGGCAGTCAAGGGGGTCAACAAGAGTGTATGTTCATGAGTCTCTGCGCCATCTCGTGGCAATTGCTCCCTTTCTGCGCGCTCTGCGTAAGAGATCTACGCTACAAAAGGCGCGTACCGCAGCTCATCAGTGCGGTGGCACACACACACTGCCAAGCTCAGATCGCAATATTGCTATCCTACACATATGAGGGTCACGAGCATATGTTTATGATCGCGATAAAAACAGTAAGCACATTCAAATATGGTCAAAGCGGCCCCAAAGATCGTTCTGCGGACACGGCCTTCAGACCACTTCCCTACAGATGCATTTCGGATCGACCAGGGCAGCAAGGTCAGTGCTTCACGCACGGAGGATTGCGCTGCAGTGACCGGCTGGCAAGCAATCGAGACACGAAGTGCCGACCTATGCAGCGGCGCATTGCCTGATGCAGGGCAACCACAAAAGCACCTAACCGTCGCGCGGGTGATGCGGTTGCAACCGTCCATCCCTGGTGCAGACGGTCACTGTCGCTCTTGGAAGCCGGAATGGACTGCCTGGTGACAAGTCCAGCGGGCCGCAGCAGTACCAGGTGTGGCCGAGGAAAAGCGGATGAGCGCACGTGAGAGGCAAGGGCAGAATGGTGCGATACATCCGAGGCAGCTGGATAGTTGCATGGTCTTCAGTCGTGTTTCAAGCAGCAACAATAGCGACAGCAACAGCAGTAGCAGCAGCAGCAGCAACAGCAGCAGCAGCAGCAGCAGCAGCAGCAGCAGCAGCAGCAGCAGCAGCAGCAGCAGCAGCGTTTGGAACGTGCAGCCAACAGCAGCGTCCATTCCCCCATCCCTCACAGTTCAAGTTTGACGGGATCCTGCACAATGCGACGCAAGACGCCATGTTCGAGGTGAGCGGGGCAGCACGACAACAGGCATCCAGGGTCACAAGTCTCCCTCCGAAACAACGCAGCACAGAGTGGGCAGGCAGGCGGCACAGGTCACACCCCACATTTGCAGGGTGCAACACTCCCTGCAACTCCCTCCTCCGCCCAGGCTTGCGCGTTGGAGGTGGTGCAAGGGGCCCTTGAAGGATACAATGGCACAATCCTGTGCTACGGTCAGACAGGTGGGGACAGTACAAATGGAGAATTTGGCTTAGAACTGAACACATACGCAGCCGGTAACACTCTCGGCAGCAGCAGCAGTAGCAGGAGTGGTGGTGGCGGCGGCAGCAGCAGCAGCAGCAGCAGCAGCAGCAGCAGCAGCGGCGGCGGCGGCGGCAGCAGCAGCAGCAGCGGGAGCGTCACATGCGGCAATCATCGCGTGAGAGTGATGGCAGTACACAGCTGGCCCATCAATGCAGTTGTGCGCGTCCTCCTTCCCTCACCACTATCTCCCGCCCCCAGGCGCCGGCAAGACCTATACCATGACCGGCGACCGCTCCTCCTTCCAGCAGCGCGGCCTCATACCCCGCACCATATCAGAGCTGATCACGCAGCTGAGGGCCGACCCCGGGCTCGCGTCGTGGCAGCTGCGCGTCAGCTACCTGGAGGTGCGCCGGCCCGGCCCTCCGCCAGGCGGCGCCGTCAGCGCCGGTCGCTTGTTGTGGCCCACCTCCTTCCCCAGCTGGGCATACTGATGCGTGGGCGCCCTTTTGCTGGTGCCTGCTGAAACTTCAAGGGCTCATGCTGGTGTGATATTTAAGGCCCATGACTCGTTGCGATGACGTCACCCTCCCCCCAGATCTACAACGAGGCAATCTTTGATCTGCTGGACATCACCACGCAGCCCCACGAGATCACGCTGCACGAGGACGGCCGGGGACGCCTGGCGGTGGCGGGCCTGCGGGCGGCGGACGTGCGCAGCGAGCAGGAGGCGCTGGCGCTGTTTTTTGAGGTGGGGCCGGCGGGGGGGAGGGATGTGTGTATGTGTGTGTGGGGGGGCGGGTGTGAAGAGAGTGGCGGCGAGGCAGCTGAAAGAGGGTCGGAGCTGTGTGCATGGGGGTCTTTCTTCGTCTCTGTTGACTCTCCTGGCTGATTCACCTTATTATTTAATGCCTTTTGCTCCCTTGGCACGGCGGCAAGTGCACGCAATTGCATCGTGTGCCCACCGCCGCCCCTTATGCGAGCCCTCCCCCCCACGCACCCACTTGACTGCGTGCGCCAGGGCGAGGCGAACCGCGTGATTGGCGAGCACCAGCTCAACCGCGAGAGCAGCCGGTCACACTGCGTCTTCACGCTGGCGCTGGCACTGGAACGTGAGGGCGCCAGCGACGGCGGCGGCGGCGGCGGCGGCGGCGGGCGGGGCACTGTGAGCAGCAAAATCAGCTTGGTCGACCTTGCCGGCAGCGAGCGCGTGAGCAAGACGCGGAGCGAGGGGCTGGTCTTGAAGGAGGCGGGGCACATCAACAAGAGCCTCCACATCCTGGAGCAGGTGATGAACGCGAGGAGTGGGGTGAGGGGGTGGAATACTGCAACGGCTGTGGGACACGGCTGCGTGGCACCTTGGCCGCGCCGGCATGCACGCGGGCAAAGCAAGGGGCATCTGCTGCGTGGCGCTATTCTGCTGTTTGGGCTTCCGCATGGCTTGCGCCCCACGCATGCTCCCCAACTTCCCCGGGCACTTGAACATGCGTGAAACAAAGCATCCGCGACTGTCCTGACCGTGGGCCCTGTGCTCACTGCCAGGTGGTCCTGGCCGCCAGCGAGCGCGGGCGCGACCACGTGCCTTACCGCTCCTGCAAGCTGACGCACGTTCTCAAGGACTCCATCGTCGGCAACTGCTGCGCGGTGCTGGTGGCCAACGTGTGGGGGGACGCGTCACAGCTGGAGGAGACGCTGTCGACTTGCAGGTGGGAGATCTTGGGGCGGGAGATCTCCGGGCGGGAGATCTCTGGCCGCTGTTAATCGTGCGTGTTGGGGTGCAGGAGTCGAAGGAACTATGAGAAGGGCGCGGAGGGCGCGGTGGTCCAGGCGCCCAAGGCCCCACTTTGATGGAGAAGCAGCCGCGGGTCACGGGTAGCGGCAGGCGCCGACGGCCGCACGCCGAGCAGGGGCAGGGCGGCGCCTGCAGGCGTGCGCGATGGCGGCGGCCTGTATGTTTGTGAGTGTTTCTGCAGCTGGCCGATGGGGGACCACGCGCCGGCACCGCTCACACGCAGGTTTGCGGCGCGCATGGCGCGTATCACGTGCGAGGTGACGCGCAACGTGGCGCAGGAGGGCGGCGTGCGGGTCAAGCAGCTGGAGAGGTGCGCCGGCCGCGGAGCAGCCTGCACTGAGGAGGGGCGTCGGCATGTGTCGTTGCCTCCTTCCAGGGCGTCCACATCCGTGCTTTCCTTGCATGCTTGCAATTCCCGTCGACATACTCCATAAGCTTGGGGCGCCCTCGCACCTTGAGTGCTGCAAGGGTTGCTGCAAGGGTTGCCTGCGGACCTGTCGGTGGCGCCAAGGTTGGCGCGGAGGGGTAGGAACATCACATGAAAGGCTTCTCAATTCCATGCTGACTGACAATATTGCAGGGAGGTGTCGGAACTGCTGGAGGAGCTAGCCATGCATGACCTTTGGGCTGGACGGGGGGAGGGCGCTGGCACTGCTGGCGCCAGCGTCGACGGCGGTGAAACAGACCCAGCAGCAGCGGCGCGTGCGCGCTACGCCCCCTACACGCGCGCGCAGCGGGCGGCTCTGCTGGGGCTCGTGCAGCGCTTCTTGTCAGAGGGCGACGGCGGCGCGGACGCGGATGGGGGAGGGG